ATTAATACAACTCCATTAAATCTCACTCTTCTTTACATAATTGCAAAACATAAATATTCTTGGATTGATTAAACGTTTCATTCATTGCAATATTTCATTCACTTGGAACCACGAAGTTCTTCTTTCAACCCCATGTATTAGTTTTTTTTTCTTCCTTTGCAATTCATAGTTTAATAATTTCTCAATTAATATTAAAAACTATTCCGGAAACAGTTTGCGTTAGAAACCATCTTTCTATAAAAATGCAACGAACATCAAAAGAAAGAAGGAAGGCGAGGAAACAAACCGAAACTCTAAAATGAAAACGTGACGTATAACATTTTAATTAAGTATTTGTGTCATGTGTCGTTACGCGACGTTTCTTACAGAGACCCAGGGTGTGTATGTGTAAGAAGAAATGTGTGAATGAACTTTTCGACAATATTGCAAAGAGTTCTCTTTTCCCCACTCTTCCCCGCTTTCGTTGTTGCCCAACTCCGCACAAGACATTTAGAGGAAACTGGCAGAGAAGGAAACCATCAGCACTCTTGTTCTATTGCAAACTTGATGATGTCCAATCACAATGGTAAGTAAATTTGTATGCGTGCGTGTATGTACATGTGAGTGTGTGGTGGTAGTCGATTTCATTTGTACAAGCCCCCTGCAAGTACAACAACATCCATGTAGGGAAGCTAAAAGTGAACAAGCAAGCAAAAGGAGCATTATGATTAATTAGTTCACACGTTAACGCTTAAGACACATTAAATAGCATTGGGTTTTGGGTATGGTGTTGCATGTATGCGTATATGTATATCGGTGCGTGTGTGTGTGCGTTTGTATCGTGCTACCCAACGTAACTTTTTTCCGAGTTTTTGATTTTGCGAAACAAAGGATTTCCATGTTATTTGTCACGCAATCAGCAGGCCTATCTCGATACCTACATACGTACGTACATATGTCAGGAGGCCTATGGAACAAAAGTGACCTGACATGAATTATGAAAACACAAAAATTATTTTCTATCTAATATGACCTTCAACGGGAACTCATACATGAACACAACAAAATCTAGATTTTTTGTTGTTGTTGTTCAACTATTTGTCAGTTGACGCAATTAGAATATTAATTATATATTAAATTTTCACAGCGTGTAATAAATAAATGAATTAAATGTTAGAGTTCGCTGGATTTCACCATGTGAAATGGGAGTGTTGTGTGAAAATTTAAATCGAAATATAGGGTACAATCATAAGAACACACTGTGTGAAATTGCGATAATAATCCGTGCTAATCCGCCACCATAAGGTGGGCATTCAAAAATTCGATCCGGACGAGGCCATAGTAAATTATTGCCAAAAAAATGAAATATCAAACTGCAGACTCTTAGGCTGGAAAATAGGGTTAGAACCTGGAGAAGCATTGAATAAGTTATTCACCCACCAAGGTCCATGAATGTCAAATTAAATCAACTTCGTCATGCTAAAATATAGACACTTCATTGGTAAATGCCTAGGACCATCACCATCCTAGGAAAATTTTAGACCCAAAGAAAAAATAAAATATCTAATTTAATTCGTAAAATTAGGAGGGAGTATAAGACGACTATTTAGGATTCTAAATCTATCGGTTCACCCACAATTCAAAGTGTACTAAATTTAGTACATAGTAGTACCGATTTCCAGATCTTCCTACATACCCCAATCCTACACCTCCACAGTGTTCCTAAATCAAAATTTCAGGATTTCAACACTTTCGGTTCACACACAATTTAAATTGTACCAAATTTAGTACACTTAGTACAAATTTCTAAAACTTTCTACATACCCCAACCATACACCCCCACAGTGATCCCAAATCCAATTTTCAGGATTCCAACTCTATCGGTTCACTCACAATTTAAATTGTACCAAATTTAGTACACATTAGTACAAATTTCTTAAATTCCCTACATATCTCAATCTTACACCTCAACAATGATGCTGACTCCAAATTTCATGATTCTAGCTCAATTGGTTCACCTAAAATTCAAATTGTACCAAATTTAGTACAATTTAGTACGAATTTCAAAAACTTCAAACTTAACTCAAACCAACACCCCCACTGTGCTCAAAATCTAAATTTCAAGATTCCAACTCTATCGATTCACCCACAATTCAAATTGTATCAAATTTAGTATACAGTGGTACGAATTTCCAAAACTTCCTACTTAACTCAAACCAACACCCCCACAGTAATCTTAAATCCAAGTTTCAGGATTCCAATTCCATCGGTTCACCCACCATTTAAATTGTACCAAATTTAGTACAAATTTTTAGAACTCCCTACATATCTCAATCTTACACTTCAACAATGATCCTGACTCCAAATTTCATGATTCTAGCTCAATTGGTTCACCTAAATTCAAATTGTACCAAATTTAGTACCATTTAGTACCCATAAGTAATAATGTCTTAAACTGAGTTCTGACCCCAATCCTACACCCCTACATTGATCCTGACTCCAAATTTTATTGTTCCCGCTCTATCGGTTCACCCAAATCCAAATTGTACCAATTATAGTACGATTTAGTACTTTTCGTACACATAAGTAACAAATTGCCAAAACTACGTACATATCCCAATCATATACTCCGACGGTAATGTTAATATCAATTTTCAGGATTCCAGCTCTCTAAATTAAATTTGTACCAAATATAGTACCATATAGTACTTTTCGTACAGATGAGTACACGGATTCAAAACCATCTTCTTATATCCACCATAATTCCCAAACCTCATTCGCATTTCAAATTCCAAGTTTTTAGCTCTATCCGTTCACATGCTACAGAATTGTATCAAATTTAGTACATTTACGTACTTTGCGGATAGTTATAGTTCGAATTTCCAAAAACCCTTTGGTACATCTATCCTACACTCCATCATCGACCACCAAACCAAATTTCATAGTTCTAGCTCCACCGGTTCGCATCACATTTAGTACGTTTTAGTACTTTTCGTACCGTTCTAGTACGAATTTCCAAAAACCCAGCCTTATCTGTCACATTCGGTCCCTCACCCAAAATTTCAAGATACTAGCTTCAGCCGTTTCGTCCGGGCGTTGATGAATCGTTAAATCAATCAGTCAGTCAGTCAATCACTTTACTCTTTTATTAGTATAGATATATTATTTCCCGTATGAAGATTTTAGACTCATTGATAACATAATATATCTAATTAGAGCCAAAATACAGAACATTAGGAGGAGTATATAGCGACTATACCTGATTATGGACAAATATTTCTAGTTATACCCTCCACCACAAGGTGAAGTTTACATTAAATTTTTCATACCGTTTGTAACACCACAAAATATTCACCTAAAACACCATAAAGTATATTTCATCTTGATCGATACGTCTGACTATGTCGATGTCCGAAAATAGATGGTATAGCTCATTACGTTCATTCGACGACGATTTTTACCCTCGACGCAGATCGGCCCATAGAACTTTCAGATACTTTTTCTTTTAAATGCTCAACGATCTGCCTTATCTGCTTGCGCAAGTACCCATGCTTCAGATCCATACAACAGCACGGGTAATATCAGCGTCTTGTAGAGTGTGATTTTGGTCTGGCGAGAGGTAGTCTTGTTTCTAAACTGTTTACATAGACCATAGTAGCATGTATTGGCCAACACTATCCTTCCGCGAATTTCAAAACTGATGTCATTAGTTTTATTTATGGTGGTACCAAGGTATATAAAATCATTGACTAACTCGAAGCTGAAGTTCTCAAGTTCCACAGTTGGGCCGAGTCTATTGGACGTCTTGCGCGTTGATATCATCAGCTTGGTCTTCCCGCCATTTACTACCAGACCCACTTTTTCAGACACCTTCTCAATTCGTTCCAAGGTGGTTGTTACCGCTAGAATTGTTTTACCCATTATGTCGATGTCATCGGCGTAGACGAGTAACATATGCTGTTTGGTGTACATAGTGTCATTTCGGGTCACATTTGCATCTCGTTTGACCTTTTCCAGCGGGATGTTAAACAGGTCACAGGACAACCTGTCACCTTGTCTGAATCCTCGTTCAGAATTAAAGGGCTCCGAGAAGGCCTTTCCGACTTTAACTGCTGATCTCGTGCCAGTTAAAGTTACCCTGCATAGCCGTCTTCATTTTGTAGGAATGCCAAACGCAGACATGTCTTTAAACATCCCTGAACGGATAGTACTGTCGAATGCGGTTTTATAGTCGACGAATAGGTAAGATGACGAATAGGTCGACGAATAGATAAGATGTGTCTATGTGTTTTTCGTGAATGGTGAATGAATTTGCCAGGCCTGAAGCCGTATTGGTATGATCCAATAATGTCACTGGCACAGTACGCTGGATAGCACTTTATATGCGATGAGAAGAAGACTTATTCCTCTATAGTTGTGCACGGGACACAGGTAGCTGAGGTTCCAATCATTGGGCATGCATTCCTCTAGCCAAATTGTACTAATCAGCTTGTGCATGCTCCTGACCAGCATCTGACCACCAGTCTTGAAAAGTTCGGCTGGTAATCCACCGGCACCTACTGCCTTATTGTTCTTCAGCCGTTTGGTTGTTATACTGACCTCATCTTGGCTAGGTGGTATACACTCTATACCGTCTCTTATTAGTTCTGAGCCATCATTTCGCCCCTACTATTTGATGCCAGTAGCTTTTCAAAATGTTCCTTCCAGATCCTCAACATGCTGTCTGTACTTGTCCTTTCCTTTCATTCTTCACCTCTACCGGAGGATGTACCTGCAACAAAGCCTTCGGTTTGGTGTTTTACTCATTGGTAAATTTTCGGACTTCATTCTGACTCCTGTACATCTCGATTTGCTCACGCTCAAGTTTTTCTTGTTCTTTCTTCTTTTTTCTGAAAATACTTTTCTCCTCTCTCCTTTTCTCCCAATAATTTTCAATCGCATTATGTATTGCTACTGTCCGCATGGTTGCCCTATACGCTGTGTTTTTCGCATCAGTAGCATTACGACACTCTTGATCGTACCATGGGTTTCTTGGTGGTGATTTTTGTTACCCAAGTATTGATTTTGCAGTAGTTTGTAGGGAGTGGGTAATTCATGCCATTGTGGCTGATGTTTCTTCATGGAGGCTGAATTTCCCGACGGTGGGGCCAAAGATATTTTGCCTTCCTATTTTAGCATTAAAATCTCCTAGCAGAATTTTAATGTCATGACCAGGGCAGCGGTGATATGTTTTTTCTAGGCGCTCGTAAAAAAATGTCTTTGGTCTGTTCATCATTGTCTTCCGTCGGAGCATAAGACTGATGTAGAAGAACTTCGCTGTTATACGGATTATAGGTATAGGTGTTTTATTCTCCTATTAACCATAAATCCGCAGCCAAATTCATGTCTCGTTTCATAGGAGCTATAATACAAGGCGTAATCATCTGGTTAACTTACGCCAGTGCCTTTCCATCGCATTTCCTGTAAGGCAATAATATCGGCTTTGTACTTCTTGAGTACATCCGCCAAAGCGAAAACTGCGCCTGTTCTGTACAACGTGAATTCATTCGTAGATCGTGGTCCTTTATACGTTTGCGGAGGTCTTCACATTGGGGGGTTTGGTTTTCTTTCTCGTAGCTTTTTTATAGTATCGAGTGTGGGGCACATATCAGCTCACTATTTCAACGGATGATGAAAGTTGGTACCCCAGGTGACACCGCGGAGAGGTCAATGTCCACAATTGAGATGAAAGTGGGACCAAGATAAGCCTGGGCTTAGCCATGTTAAAGCCAATCAGAGCCGTTGCTTGGTATTTATCATCCCCTACGCCACCAATCGAAACATTTGCACCCATATATAATTTACTTAGAACACACCTTGCCTGCATTCAAAGTATTGTAGGATATCATATAGCCGGTTTCATCGCATTTCCCTTCTTAACCGGTAGATAGTTTTATATATATTCGGTTTAAAATGTATTTACCATGTAAAAATCCATTTAAAAATAAATTACTTAAAATGTAAACACTTTCCAGTTTGTATGAACAAATTATACCCGAAAAACTCTGTCTAATCTAAAAGTACCATAACTATTTATCCTGGGTCAGGTACTATTGTCGGAGAAGCAGAACAAGAGATTCATTTTGTAGATGAGAGTATTTTTGTTGTATAATGTTTGATAAGTTTGCCCCCCATTTGTTGTTACAACTACAACTCACGTCTAATATATGGGAGGGGATACTGTGAAGCCCTTAAGTAATTCACAAAAAAAAAAAACAACAAAACACATACACACAATTAAGTTACGCACAATATACCTACCTATGTTTGTGCGTATGTCAGCTGACTATGAGTGTTGTGTGTTGATGATTGTAGTTGGTTAGTTAACTAATATCGTAAATTATATTGCATGTTGTTTATTACTGCATATGAATTTGTAAGTAGTTACAAACATATGCATATACGTACTTACATACATATTCAACATTTTGCAAGTGTTGATGAGTTTGTGGGTAGAATGGGCCAGATAGTGATGCGAAATAAAAATAATAGGGAACTAGGAAAGGAATTCTAGAAGCATATATACATTGAAAATATGTTCGCTATGTCTTATATCTTAATAAGACTCTTGAAGACATTATGATTGTACTATATTACCTATAGAATATTTCATGAGTCATCTTCATGAAAACAAACTGACTTCTCCTGGGATGTATGGCATTGAATATGAGATATATAGGTATAACGGTGCCCCCAAATATTTGGCATTTTTGGGATTTTTGCAATGTTTTATACAGGTCACTTATTTGGCCCAAGGATAGGTCACTTATTTGGCCCAAGGACGAACCCTATTGAAATTGGGAAAAAATCGGGTCAGATTTATATATAGCTCCCATATGTACTTTCGTCCGATTTTATGTAAATGGTGTACCAAAGTCCCTATATATCTTTCGATTTGCACGAAATTTGGCACAGCGTACTGAATTAAGTCTAGAATGAGGAGTGTTAAGATTCCTGAAAATCGGTCCAGATTTAGATATAGCTCCCATATATAAATTTCCGCCCGATTTAATGTAAATGGTGTACCAAAGTCCCTATATATCTTTCGATTTGAACGAAATTCGGCACAGCGTACTGAATTACGTCTAGAATGAGGTGTGTTAAGATTCCTGAAAATCGGTCCAGATTTAGATATAGCTCCCATATATACATTTTCAGCCGATTTAATGTAAATGGTGTACCAAAGCCCATATATCATCCGATTTGCACGAAATTTGGCACAGCTTACTGAACTAGGTCTAGAATGATGTGTGTTAAGTTTCCTGAAAATCTATCTAGATTTATATATAGCCCCTATATATATTTGTATCCGATTTAATGTAAATGGTGTACCAAAGCCACTATACATTTCGATTTGCACAAAATTTGGCACAAATTCCTGAAAGTCGGTCCAGATTTAGATGTAACTCCCATATATACATTTTCGTCCGATTTAAAGTAAATGGTGCACCAAAGTCCTTATATATCTGTCGATTTGCACGAAATTTAGCATAGCGCAATGAATTAGGTATAGAATGGTGTGTGTTAAGTTTCCTGATAATCGGTCCAGATTTAGATATAGCTCCCATATATATTTTCTTCCGATTTTATGTAAATTGTGCACTTGTGTGTCCGATTGCCACACAATTTGGTACAATAAACTGTACTTAATCTCTGGCAAGTCTCATTGAAATAGGTTCAGATTTTGATATAGCTTCTACAGATATATTTTCGTCCGATTTTACGCCAAATTGACACAAGTTTTGCTCAGCGCACTGAAGTTAGTATAACCTAGAGGTTGGATATAAATACTTCAACAAGGTGGGTCCAATCGGCACAAAATTTTGCACTACGTTCTGTAGTTACTATAGCATAAGAAGCAACAATGTATCTATTAGGATTCATCTGTTGAATATGCCAAAGTGGTGAATGGTATCATATAGTTGGCCCCGTCCGACTTTACTACTTTCCTTATTGAGTCAACCTAATTCGCTGTAGTTTGGTACTTTGAGTTGCCATTGGGTAACAAATTTTCTTACCATAAATGATCCACCCCAGATGTTGAAAGTCTTCTTAAGAAACCCTGAAGAAAACTTCGGCCTCAAGAAACCTGAACAATATCGTCTAAGGTATTCTACCTGCTGAAGGTATTCTATACTTAGATGACCCATTGAAACAAATCTATCTTCCCAAAAACCTGTTGATGGTCTACTAAATAGTGAATAGTAAAACCTTTGACGGTCTACTCAATAGTAAACCGGTTCCTCATTTGCAGTTTCTTTTTTGTTCTACCAACACTAACACATTGCCGACACAAAAGAGCAAAGTAATATTTATTTACACAGTATAAATTTTGTGTACGCAATAGTGTCACGTTGTGTCGGACAATGATATGCTGTTGTTGTGTGCATGTGCTTGTGTGTGAGTATGTCAGAGAGTGCTAATAATCGTTATGTGTGTGAGATATTCCTGTTAAGTGGATGGCTTCGTATTTGCCAAGTAGCTGAAATGATTTATGAAAGATTTCAGCGTTCAGCAAAGAGGTACAAAAATTCATTAAAAAATAAAAAATATTTTTACAACAAATGAATATTAAACAAAAGAAATGGTACAAAATGAGAAAAAGAAGAAAAAAACAAAACAAACAAACTGTAGAGTAATGAGTTTCGTCGTTTAAACGTTGCGTAAATGCAAGAAATAAAAACAAGTAATTTTAATTAGTTTTACCTGTTTTGCAGAGAGTGATAAAAAATCAGAAATGAATGTCGTAGGGTCTAGTAGTAGACTATCTACAGATAACTTAAGGAAGGTCATAATGAGGTATAGTGCATATTCAATGTGGCATTCTGTCTGTTAAATTCACGATAAAGATCGCAATATTGAAGATAGCGCTTTGCCATTTTGCGCTGTTGAGTAAAGTGGTTTTGGAAAATTGGGTATTATATCGGACCACGTTCTATTATAGTATTGGAATTTTTGACATATTCAGTTTGGTATTTTGGGTTATCACTTGGTAGAAAATCTTCCTACTTAAATTGTCAGTATTTATCAACTTTGTGGATTGCCACCATATAACGATACCCCCAATATTCTTTTTTTATGCTTTTGGGCAAGTTTTTCTCCCTGCTAAAAATTATCCATATTGGCACATGCTTCGATGTAGCTCATTTTAATTCGGTTATAACGAACTTGTTACAAATATACATAATAATTAACCATGAAAATCTGCACAACTGGCAACCATTACAAAATATCAGTTAATCAAGGACAAATTGAAGCAGCTTATGTATTGTCAAAAAGGATACAAAAACTGTGAATTGTGAATCGGAACTGAAAATAAATTTTTCCTGCTTATCCTAGGGTTCGCCTTACCTCGGATATAACGATTTTCTTCTATAAAAACATAATTCGCTCGGTCCCTTCTAGTTCGCTATAACCGTACTTTACTGTGTTTATACCATACACAACTATGCTTCCAGGGTATTATAGCTATGTAAAGACCATAATATTCGTCCTAGACCCACTTGTAAGTATAAGTATATCATGATATCTCGACCAGCTGAATCGATCTAGGCATGTGTGTTTATAATTTGTAACCACGATAGAACCGACCGTTATGGACCAATCTTCACGAAATTTTGTATATAGGACCGATTCTGGGGGATGATGACCTTTGTGCGGAAAAGGACAAAATTTGTGCTTACGGTGCCTACGCTTATTTGGCAACGTTAGATTGCGGAAATATAGCACTAATCGCTTTAAAATTTTCCAAATTTTCGGTGGCGATCAGATAATAATTTGGGATTAAATGGAACGAAAACTTTTTTTCGAGTCCATCACAACATAACCCATTGTGAAGGGAATTTGGACAAATAATAAAAAGAGCTGTACTGTTGATCTTTAATAGTGGAAGGGGGTGCAAATATTACGAAATATTGTCCAGGATCGGAATAAACATCCGCAGCAAGTTAGAGATCCGTGGTAGTTGTGTAGGGTATTGTATGGTCGGCCCGGTCCGATTATACTGCTCCGCTCAATGGGTTGAAGCTTTCTGCCGCATTTTTGTATTGTTTGAATGTAATTTGACATTCCGTGGTATTGGA